AGTAATATAACATACAAATTAATCAAAGATCTATTAATAAATTTAATTTTGACCATTAAGAAACTCAATAAATAAATGTTAATTAATTAAAATAAATAATAAAAAAGAGAATTTTTAAGTCAGGATACTTTACTTCTAAATTGGAATTTCATAGAAGGGACATATTTTTAGCCATTAAAAAGTATTTTACGTAGTTTTCTGAAGTGTCACCCCTCACAAAGGGCGTTTCCGGTGGATGTCCCACTGTAATTATGGCAAATCACATGTCAAGGTCTCTGCCAGGGCTAAAAGAACACGTCAATAAAATAAACTACATTTTAAAGTTGCCGCTCCGGTTATAGTTTTGCAGCTTTATTGTCGCCAAAGGCGCTCAGATGGCTGGCTTTTTGTTGGGTCAGAAAGTACGAGATACTCTCGTCGAAGCAGATGGCCAGCAACTCTTGAGTGTAAATAGCCTGAAAAACCTTTGGAAGTTTGGCTCCTTTTTTGGGCAACTTGGCAAAAGTCATTTGAGGCGGCAAAGCCGCAGACAGTGAACCAAAACGAAAGATGTTGTAAAAGTTTTGGCTTAGTTTCGTTTACCTAGTGGCATAGAATGGAAAAAAGCGGTTTGAATATAATTCTAATTTGCATATTATTTGGCCAGTGCTCGACCGTTTTTCGGGGGGCGGAGAGGACCTGGAACCTTTTGGCGTACATAATGGCTTGGAAAATCTTATACAGGGCAACGCAATCTGCAGGATTGCAGCGGCCACAAAGCTCTTAAAGTAATTAGTGGCATAAATTAAATGCCCCATCCCGCCACTCCGACATCCCAGGACTTCTGCCCCGAAAACAACAATGGGCAATTGTTTGAATGACCCTTGTGCCACTTTTAATTGTTGCAATGCTGCGAAACTTTTCGACCTCACCGGCCAAGGCGAAAGAGTTGCGGAAAAAGGCCTCTAGCTTTTTGTCACCGCCGCGGGGCGTGGCTGCGGAAAATTCCGGGAGAGGGAGGGGGCGGGCTTAGCGATTTCCACCGAGACCGCTCCCGACGAACTGCAACAAAAGCGACCGACCGACCGCGGGGCATAAATAACTTTTTTTATGCGTTTCATATGGGCTTTTTATATGGACAGAAGGTCGACGCACAGGCCCCGCAAAAATTCGGTCGAAATGAGGAAGAAAGTTGACACTTTTTAAATTGAATATAAAATAAAATAAATTGTGCGTAATTTAAAATATCACCCGGCGAAGCAGAGTATTTTTCATTGACGGCAGCTTAATGTAAGCCTAATTACTTTTACTTTTTTTTTTTGGTCGAGAGCGAGTGCAAAATTTTTTGAGTTTTGATTTTTGGTCATTTGATTTTGTATGAGTTTTGGTAAGCATAAATCTCACTTTAAAAGTTCAAAATGATGTCAGTCAAAGAGCTTTTAATTTGGAAGTTTTATTTATGGGTGCACAGAAGTGTGCAGAGATTTTAAATGGTGCATACTTTATTCATTAGCACCCATTATCCCCATAACATAACAAAGTAATTAATTTATTAAATGCTTCCATTTATTGGGAGTTCCATTAATTAGAGCAGTTAGCTGTTAGTGAGTGAAAGTGAAAGCAGCGAAAACTATTGCAACATTGATTTCCAATTGATTTTGGCTTTTGTCGCCCTTCCGTCATAAAAATACTCATCGAAAATTACATGCCAAAATAAAACAAGCTGTTGACTTGCCAAATAGCCGTGAAATATTCCCCCAGGGCGTAGGTGAGCAGGTAACGGCAATCGCATCGTTTTCCCGGAGAATTTCGCTGAGACAACAAATATCGAACCACCCACCGCCCATTGCCCATCGACCACGCCCCGTTTTTGGCCACCCACCACACCGGCATATCCTGTCTCCGGACAGTAACGAGTCCTGGTCATGGAGGAAACTTCAGAGGAGGAGGAGGAGGAGTAAAGAATGGAGGAGGAGGAGGAGAAGGACGAGCAGGCTGGATGGCAAGAGGATATCGTAAAGCGACACACAATCACACATAAAATTTTACAACACGAGGATGTTTTTTATTGCACTCGTCCCCAGACTGCTGGCTGCTGGCTTGTCGTCCTTGTCCCCAATCGAAGGACCTTAAGTAGCCAATTACTGAAAACTTCGAATTCCCTGCCATGAATTTCGCTCCTCTCGATGCGATGTCCTTCTGCCTTCTGCCTTCTTCTGCCAGGACACTCCATGCGGCAAGGGTTTGTTAGCACGCCCATCAGCCCGGGTAAACAACAAAACATTTTTCTATTTAATTAAAATGAATTCACCTTTTTGGCCGGCCAGTCTCGAACAGTGTCGCTGATTTATGGATGGAAGCCAATAAATTTGCACAGCGCTTCTGATTCTGATTCGGATTCTGGATTCTGGATTCTGGAAACTGATTCTGGATCGGGATTCCCATTCGCATTCGGATTCGCATTGGGATTCTGCTTCTGCCGCTGATTCTGGCTGAGCCGTGAGCCATTTAAATCACGAGCTGTGCTGCGGTTTTAATTAAAAGGAATTTATTTTCCACTCAGCTGCAGATAAGTGCGCAGACAGTTGGGCCGGAGCAGCATCCGCAGACGTCCATATAAATATAATAGTTTACCTTTGCTGCTGCTGCTGCTTCTGCTTCTGCTTTTGCCTCTGCTATTGCTTTTGCAGCTCCCTGCACCACCTAGAAGCAGTCGCACCACCGCACCACACACACTCACTCACTCAAACAGACACAAATATTTGCCCACCTCGTATTACATACCCACGACTTGCCATTATCGTTAAGACAATACAAATGCCTCGCATGCTACAGGGAGAAATAAGAAGGCCTAAAGCCGAGTTTGCAGGCAGCTTCTGCAATTTATGGAAGTCGGGACTTACCTGCTTCCGAAGGTGTTGCACTCGAAATTGAAAGATAAATCAAGTGCTCAACAAATTATCAGGTATTTTACAATACATTTAACAAACCTTTTTCATCGGAATAATACCTAATTAAATTTATTTTTTGGTTTCAATCTAATAGTTACTTACATAAAAGCATTTGTATTTTACAATACAAAGTATATTTAATCTAATATTTCTTGCATTTTCATAGATATAAAAACAATTAATATTTGCTAATAAATACCTGTAATTATGTTAAAATCATCTTGATAATAATAACATTTGTAAAACATTTATTTAAGTGCACTGTGAGTTTCGCTTATGTATTCAAGCGAATGTGTGTGGCTGTAACCCTTTACAAACATGTCTATTTTGGTCAATGGCAATGGCAACGAAAGCCATTTGTTAATTGTTGCCACACCCCTGCGGCCGGGAAAATCGAGACGGGACCTGGATCTCGGGATCTGGAGATCTGAGAGCTGTGAGTTGAGATCCGAGCACCGGGAGGTGGAAGGTGGGATGTGGGATGTGGTATGTTGGACGTGGGGCCTGTCATAATTACGGAACGGGCTGCTCAAGTTGCCGCAGCTGGCACCTAAGACATTGGCCATGGCTAAAGACCTGCATCGTCGCCTGTCTAGTTATTATGGATGGATGGGCGATGCGAAGCGATGCGATACGATGCGATACGATGCGGTGCGATACGATGCTGCTGCCGAACGATTCGGATCGGGTTTCAAGTATTGGCCAGTAATTAATCATGCGCCTTGTTATAACGGCCATTTCGGTAATTACAGACTGTGCGGATCTCTCTAATACGTTCGATAAAAATGTAAATGCATATACTCGTATTGTGGCCTCAATCAATAGCCTCGAAAATTAATGGCCAATAAGCGAAAATGAATCATGCAATTGGCGCCCAATGGCTTCAACTTTTCGCAAATGTTGTAAAGCCCTCGGCCCCGAAAAACCGAACCCTCGAGGGCCCACTAAAACCCCGATATAAACAGAGCCCGCAGCCAAGATGTTAACCCACCCACCCACTCACTCACTCACCACCACCCACTCTGCACACACACACACAGTTACTCTTATACATATACACCGGAAATCGCCAACGATAAATCTCCCATTTACCTTTAAACTCGAAATACGACTACCAATGGGGCGCTTTCGTCTGGCCGAGGGGTGTGGAAAACCTAGGGAAAATCGTAGGGGAAAACCGGAGGGAAGTGGGTAAGTTTGGGGTGCGGGATGGACACTGTTACGGCCTTAAATCCACTAACAAATAAAGGAATAAATTGCCCATAAAAAGGATTTTGCAAATGCCGCCTGCAACTACGGAACCCACTTGTGTTTCCTATTTTACAGTTTACAGTTATTGTGCACTTCTTTTTAGTTTAGTTGCTCGCACTAAACTTAAAGAATTGCGCGACCGCAAGTGCCAACAAGTTTGGTGAGGGTCCTGTTGGCCAGATAATGCAAGTTTAATGAATATTTTCGGTGCTTACGATTTGAACCGGAGTTATGTAGGAAACAAGTTATTTTATTTAGTAGAAGAAATTTTCCTAATTTTTTTGGACTGTAAACCTTGTGTCATTCACTTGATTTGCTTTTTAATAATAAAACGTATTTGAAAGTATAGATATTGTCCCTTCAATCTGTAACAAAACGAAGTTTAAACAAAGGTATAAAAACAAGAATATTTTAAAGTAAAATGCTTTTTTTTTTGTTATTCGAATTTAAGCGGCTAATAAGTTATAATCAACGAAAATAAATGTAGAGCTCTTTTACAGGTTCCTGTTTTGACTCAACGAATATCAAAGTTCCGAACCTTACATATTTCCTGTAAACTTAATAATCATTTAAAATGAACTAAATCTTAAAACTAATAAAGCAATGCTAAAGGGTTGTTTATGGAAATCTCATTATGGTGTTTATATTCTACTCTCTGTAAGTCGTGTGTAACGGCTGCTCAGGAAGGGCAGTACATCAACTTTGAAATCAAAGCTGACACGCGTTGAAAATACTAAAACACTTTTGGTATTTAGTATTTTTGAAGTATTTAGGTGATTTCTTGTACAGACATTTTTTGCAGTTTTCGTGCAATACCACTCTGCGAGACAACGCTCCCCAGCCCTGGAAAATACCATAATAAAATCACAAAAGTGCACTTACCGAATAAAATTAATAACAAAATATTACAACAAATGAAAAAATAAATGCATTCGGATAAATATTAAGTGAAATCGCCGCATTACCACCGATTGCAATACGAGTAAAAGCGCCACTCGAAACGGGAACAAACGTGTTTGGCCAACCAGTCGTTTTTTTCGCCTCCAAAAAACCAGGCTAGCAGTGATTTTTCGGGGGGGAGGGACGCAATAAAACCCGTGGAAAACCGCCTGAAAGGAGCGCCCAGTTTTGGCAGCAACTTTTTAATACAACTTCCCAATCCAGAAGTAAAAAAAAAGGAAAACTAAAATAAAACGGGGGCGTCTGTCGCTTGAGTGTGTTTGTGTGTGCGTGTTAGCCAGAACAAGTTGCCGTACCTGTGCCTGTGTGTGTGGTGAGGGTTTTTTGATGTCTGCGCTGCTTTTTTTCCCAGCCGAGGTGAGCACACAGGTGAAATATCGGTGCATTCGGCTGCCTTGGCAACAGTTCCATAAAAAAAGACAAGACACCCCATCTATATATATATATATAGAAAACCCACCCAAACAAAACAAAACGCAATCCAACGAAAATGCTACGTTTTCTAAGCCGTCGCAAGGTGCGCAACAACTATGTGGATAATTCCCGAGGGGGCGGTGGTGCAGGCGGTTCCGCGGTGGGCGGAGGAGGAGGTGCTGTCACCGCCAGCGGTTCGCAAATTAAGCCACAGCGTATCGTGGTCAACAAGAACAAGATCGACTGCCGCGTCATTCTGCTGGACAACACTGACCTTTCCATCGAATTATCGGTGAGTACGGGGCCACATCGAATTACATTTTGGCCCATTTCTGATTTTCACTTCTAAGTATTTACTGCTGCCGTTGGCAGTAATTGTCGCAAGACAAAAAATTAAATAAATGGTAGGAAATGGAGGGGTCTTGAAAAGAATTTCCAAGGTTGAGATAAAGAAAGAGATAAAATACAGTAAACAAACTTAAGCATCATTTAATTTATTGATTATTACTATTGATTTAAGGCCATTTAAAATTCGAAAAAATACTCGTGAGTTTTATTTAATAATAGACTGCCAACTTTACTGATTTATATTCAAGATAACCAGTGTAAAACTTACAATGTATTTTCGAAGGTCAGCCACTTATTACAAAATTACAGTTATTATCGTATGGAGCTTGTTTATCCACACACTTTGTAACTGTACCACGGAAGAATTTGCATTTTTTAATCAGTTCAGATTAAATTCTTTTTCTAGAGATTGTCTAAAATGTAATAAGGCTTAGAGGAGTCAGTAGTTAGTATTGTATTCAATTCTTATATTATTTACTTTGTATATTGATTCACCCTAACAAAAGTAGTCGACAGCATGCACTGTCTCACCTCATGTGATAAAAATAAGCAAATTGCTGCTGATCAGCACATAATTTAACCTGCTAAGCGAACGTGATTAGTTCAGGGTCCCATTGATTTACACCTGCCCCCCGTCGAAGCCATTAATTTTTTTTCGCTCTGCGGTTTGCAGAAAAAAGCGTTGGGCAGTTTCCTGTACGAACAGGTCTTCTACGCACTGGACATCATCGAGAAGGATTACTTCGGACTGCAGTTCACAGATGCCAATCACGTCAAGCACTGGCTGGATCCCACCAAGCCCATTAAGAAGCAGGTCAAAAGTGAGCTAATGTGTGAATTCAATTACGTGGCAAGACAATACTAATTATTTGAATGTTTCCCGCAGTTGGACCGCCCTACACGTTCCGCCTGAAGGTGAAGTTCTACTCTTCGGAACCGAATACACTCCGAGAAGAGCTCACTCGCTACCTGTTCTTTCTGCAATTGAAACAAGATCTTCTTGAGGGACGTCTCGACTGTCCGGACGACAAAGCCACCGAACTGTGCGCTTTGGCATTGCAGTGTACGTGTTTAATTTGTTGCAAAATGTGTTATAATGAAGTATATAACTGACAATAATAAGAGGTTTCATTCTTAACCCACGTTAATAGTTCCTCCCCTTTAAAAAAACGCTTTTCTGATTCTCTTTTTCACTCTTAGCTGAACTGGGCGACTATGATAACCAGGAGCATTCGGCAGCCACCGTCTCGGAGTTCCGTTTCGTGCCCGAGCAAACTGAGGACTTGGAGATAGCCATTCTTGATGAGTACAAGACGTGCCGGGGCCTCACGCCCGCCCAAGCGGAGACCGCCTTCCTGAACAAAGCCAAATGGCTGGACATGTACGGTGTTGATATGCACACGGTGCTCGGAAAGGATGGCTGCGAATACCACCTTGGTCTCACGCCCACTGGCATTCTTGTATTTGAGCGAGATCAGAAGATCGGCCTGTTCTTTTGGCCTAAGATCAGCAAGCTGGATTTCAAGAAAAAGAAACTGACTCTGATTGTAATCGAGGATGACGACGAGGGCAGAGAGCAAGAGCACACCTTTGTCTTCCGTTTGTACAACGAGAAAGCCTGCAAGCACCTGTGGAAGTGCGCCGTGGAGCATCACACCTTCTTCCGGCTAAGGGCGCCCGTAAAGGGTCCCTCTGCCCGACAAAACTTCTTCCGCATGGGCTCTCGCTTCAGGTACTCCGGTCGCACCGAGTTCCAGACCACGCAGCAGAGTCGCGCCAGGAGAACTGTGCAATTTGAAAGGCGACCATCGCAACGATTCGCCAGCCGGCAGTCGCACCTGTTGCGCGAACGACAAAAGGCTTCCCAAGAGTCGGCGGCCTCGGCCGTAGCCACTGTTAATGCTCGAGCTGCTGCAGCTGCAGCCGCCGCCGCCGCTTCACAACCGGCTGCACCAGCTACTCCCTTAGTAACTTCCAATGTATCCTCGCCATCGCTGAGCAACGATAACAATAACGATGCCTTCGATTCTCTCATTTCCACGGATCAGTTTATCACTGTAACTCCCTCGCCTTCGGTGCTCACTGTCATTCAAAACTCGGCCATTATTGAACCGGATGCGGCCTGCAGCGGTTCCATAAGTTCCTCCTCCCAGGCGGCAACCAACTTTGCCTCGCTGGGTCGCAACTCCCTCAAGTCGAACTTCAGCAACGAGGATCCAGCGTACAGCAAGATCGGTTCAATTGGCAAGGCCTCCGGATTAACTGTGAAGTAAGTAATTTAAATTTCTCCTCATGTTATTTATGTAACTTACAAGCTTACTTCTTCCAGATTGGATACAGACTACACTCCACCATACTCACCCAACGCCACCAAGAACTTTGATGAGACCAATCCGTTCAGAAATGCATCGACCTCGCATCACGGCAGCTTTGGAAAGGCTTCCATTAGCTCTGGCCAGCTCAGGTAAACCTTCCGCACTGCTAACCTACTGATGTACCTTTTTACGCATATTGCTTACACTTCCCGATTGACTAATTTGCCTGTTTCTGTGTGTTTCTCACCTGTCTTTCTGTGTTGTGTACATCATTGTGCAGTGTTAAGAGCGGCTTGTCGGATAAAGATAGAGAGCTAGACTCATTGCTTAAGTCCATTGTCAAAGATCCATCCCCATCAGTGCTAGCAAACGAAGCCATTAACGATGCTAACAGTATCAGGTAGCGTAATCTTGGCTCAGATAATGAAACATACTGATTGGAGTGTTTTTCGGCAGGGTGACTATTAACAAGACCTTCGACATGGATCACAACACGGAGACACTGAAGCGCCTCTCGAACACCAACGAGAAGCCCAACAATCAAGTGAAGCTGGCTAATGTGAGCACCACGGCTCTACCGCCTGGCAACATCAAGTGCAATATTCTAAAGGGTAAGTCCAATATATAATACATTGTATCTTATAATTGTATTAGAAAGTGACATTAATATCTTCTACTTAATCCTCCAGCTCGCGTTGAGGAGGAACTGGGCGCCGGCGGCAATGCTAAGCTCACCAATCAGATGTTTGTGCCGGCCGCCCACAGCAGCAACATGCACACGAGCAACACGAACAGCGGCGGCGGCAACACCAACAGCAGCAGCAGCAACAGCAACAGCCATGCACACAGCGATGGACCGGATTCCCTGAACGCCACCTACATATCAGTGGTAAGTTGTCGGCCAGCGAACCAGTTTAAGCCCACTGCATTGCACTCGTTTCATGCCTTCTGTTTGTACGTTTTTATTTCCATTCGTTGTCCGCACTTAATGTTTATCCGTCGTATTGCGTGTGTTGTTTCCGTGTGCTTGTGTCTGTATGCTTGCTAAACCACCACAAAATCAAACACAAAAAAAAACTAGGGAGGCGATAAGCTGACGCTCAGCATACCGGAACAGAAGCCATCGACGGGCAGTGGCAGCAGCTCCAGCGGCTCGAGCACCAACACCACCACCACCACTGCCACCACCAATGGAAATGCGCCCTTTAGCAACGCGACCTTTGTGTCCGGATTCAGTGCACCACTCACGCCTCCATCGTCGCTGCCAGCTAATCTGAATCTCAACAACACCGGTAGCGGTGCCTCATCCACCCTCACGAGTGTGACCACCATTAGCACACCCAGCAGCCCCACGGCCAGCGTTAACACCACCGCCTCGGAGCCGGTGGCTCCAGCTTTGAGCAACGCATCGGCCGCCGAAATACTCATTAATGAAATATTCATTAACAACATCATAAACAACAATGCCAGCGGCAGTATCACCACCGAAACTGCGGCCAAACCGGCGGGCAGCTCAACGCCCAGCGCCGGCACCTTGCTCTTCTCCACGCTCAGTGAACAGGAGCGGCTGGAGTCGCAGAAAAGCAGTCAGCAACTGAATCAGAATCTAAACCTGAATCAAAACCACAGCGAAGTCGATGCGCCGCCGAGTGAAAAGGTTTGAGCACCTGCCAGCTTATGTCTACGCTTTTACTGTCTGTCTCTAAACTCGCCTTCAACTTTTACTAACTATTTCTTAACACTTGCAGGGGTATTATCACTAAGATTCAATATAGAACCTGT